TGACTTGTTAGGCTTAAATTTACTTTAAGAATTATCAGATTCCCTAAAAGTGTCATATATATATATATATGAAGTCGAAGGTTGGTCCCACCAAAAGCATATATTTATATATAAATATACATACATATATATACAGATAAATGAATTTTCTTGACTTGTTAGGCCTAAATTTACTTCAAGAATTGTTGGATGCCCTGAAAATGTCAGTCGCATGAGAGATCAAAGATTATTCTGTTTTTCCCAGGAATCTAAAGAAATATCTTCGACAAGAATGTTCCTGTAAGAGCAGCCGACAGTTGGAAAATGTGTATGAATATTTTTGTGTAGTAAACCTTCGAAATTGCTCATCGCATCTATATTCCAACACTTCTTAGAATATTTTCCATTTCCTGTAGGCACTGAGTATGCAGCAAACCGATCTTTTTTAGGCGGCTTGCTGTCAGTCTGTCAGCGCCATAGCGCTGGCTTGTCTCTGATGTCTCCACAAAAGTGAACAGTGTCGATACCTCTTGAAGCTGACTTTGATGTGAATGAACGGCTGATCAACGGTACACTGGCCTCAATCCCACTCTCGAGCCGATTTGACTTCGGCCGGCCAGGTCGGCTAGAAATAGCGAAAGTGTGTGTGTCTACAGAAGAATTGTATCCACCCTTTGGTCGCGTTGTATGATGAAGGACTAATAATGGAATCTTCCCACGATCCGATGAAGTAGCCGTAATTTTTCATTGCATTTCACATGGCCTTACCTCCCAAACAGTATTCACATCCTTTCAGAAAACAAGGCCATGTGAAATTCGAGGGAAACGCGAAAGCGACCTAGCCATTTGTGTGAAAATTTAACTATCAGTCCTTCATCACTTCATGCTACCCAGCGTAAATACAGCTCATATTCAAGATCTACCGCCAGTTTGGGTACCTTCTCGCACGGAACATGTGTTGATTTGTGACGGTGCCTCTGAGGCAAGCATGCTTGCCGGGAGAGGAGATGCAGAAAGCAAAAAAGTGGCTTAAACAACGCCTCTTGGAGGTGGTTGAGACAAGCGGTTGGGTTGTCAGGTCTCAGTCAAAAGTGGACTTCACAAGTGGCTTGGTTAATGGACGAAGAAATGAACGATAATTCACATCAACCAGGCAATACGTGCATATGTCCCGTTGATGTGCCCTAAAACACGGCCAGCACAGAGTAACAAATACAACCTGCATACAATCTTGTCACGAACCTTGAAGCCTTCCGTTACCCTAACAACAAGGATTTCCGAGGCTCTGTACCCACGTACGCCCTTACAAAAATGAGTTTCCATGTGAAAATAGGAAGAAAGAGAAGAAGAAGATCGAAATAAAAGCTATCGGACGTGTACATTTGCGTAGACTCCTGCGTGCCCGTGTGGACATGCCTCTGTCGGTCTAACTGTGTGTATGTTGGTCTCACTGTTTGTGTGTCGTTGTGTGAAGAAACCGATTTACAGTCGACGTGAACAGGACGCCGGATAGCGGCTTGACAGAATACGTGCCTGTTCACCCAGTCAACTATTGTACCGCTGGGACTCAGGTCCGAGTCCGGAAATGGAACTCTGGTTGGGGCACGCTTGTCCGGCTCACTTGTCGAGACTTTAGGGGCGGCAGCAAAAAAAAGGCCAATTGAGATGTGCCAGTGCGAAAAGTCAACTCGTGCCTGGTCATCTCATGTCACCATGCGGTTAATCGGTTTCCATGGCTTCTACCAGGACTCGGTGACGGCCCGGCCAATGAGGGTAGACATGTTGCACTCCGACAAAACATGTCAGCCGGGCGAGGCCTACGCGGGAGGGAACGAGGACAAGAAACTGATGCCAACTAAAAGAGGAGATACCAAGTGAAACTGGGTTTCGATGAATCTCATGAGATAACATGCTTTGGGCACTTTCATTTTGTATGAAAGTGCACGGAGAAGAGCGTGAATCGCGCTGTACTGCAGCCGTTTGGCTAAGTCCGTTTTCACCCAAAACAAGGGATGAGGTCTCGTGGACTATGTCAACCTGAACGACGTACAAAATTGACCTACGAATCTTTTCTTCGTCCCAATAAAGGACGAGAGACAAGCAAATCACGCCTGAATGAGTGATGATGAGAGAATTAGAGCACTTTGTCCACGAGGTTAAAGCAAAGAAAAACAGATTTAAATCCGCATTTTCTCACCAAACACAATCCGCCTCAGCCAGCTGGGCGCCAGTATCATTATTTTTCTCGAATGCGTTCTTACCAGTTGGACACAAATGATGTCCATTGGTGAGTAGGAGGCACAAGTAGTGAGTGAGAACTTCATTAAATTCGAGCAATTCTTTGTGATCACTACTTACTGCGTCTACTCACAGTCAATTCTCCTCTCACAGCCCACAATTGAGTAGTACATTGGCACCAATTAAACTGTTGAAGGACTGATAGTTGAATTTTTCCACAATGATATGCATAGAGCTGACGTTTCCATTCAATTTCACATGACATTGCTTTCCCAAAAGGT